GGAGACGCCCAAGAGGCCTCCAAGAAGCGCCCAAGAGATATCCCAAGAGGCTCCGACAGGCATCCAAGAGACCTTTGGCCATTTTGCTCGCCCTCCTCCTCCTCCTGCTCATCCGTCTTCCGTCATCCGTCCTCCTCCTTCTCCTCATCCTCCTTCTCTTCCTCCTCCTCCTATTCATCTTCCTTCTCCCCACTCCCTCATCCATCCATCCAGCATCCTCCGTCTCCTCCTTCCTCCTTCGCACGGTTCGGCTGCCCCCCTCCTTGCTCCCGCACTTCCCTGATCACCTCAACTCGCCTGGGCGTTGTTTCTGGATGGGCTGACGGTGATGCGCGAAGCGTCTAGACTTTTGCAACAGCACCGATTGGGCATGCAACGAAATCTGCGTGTCCTACCCGCCCCCCCTCGGCGACACTGCATTGCTGCATCCGCCAATGCCTATGCTAGGATAGACTGCTGTGCGCACGCGCATCGCAACGCTCACTCCTGCGACTCCAACTGCGGGATATCGCCGCCGCCATCGTCGTCATCGGAGTTGCCGTCGTAGACCGTCCAACCACGTTTGACAATATCGCCCGTAAGGGTCTCAATCGCTGTCTCAATGTCGGCGAGTTCCATGGTTTTTGGTTTTTGGTACTGCAAGTGCTTGCGCCCGTCTGCATCCTTGCACTGCAGGAATATAGACTTCCTGCGATAATCGAACTTCGCCTCTGGCGTGGGCAATTCAATGCGATCCTCTGGGCGCTTGCGCTTGAGCGGCTTCACAGGCGTTGGCTGCAAGGCCGACGCCGTCGCCACCTTCTGGAGCCAAGTGAGATTCTCCACGGTCAGCTCAACACATGGCACCCTCAATGGCATGAGCTCCACGGTCATCTTCATATTGAAGGTCGCGCCCTCGTTGCAAGTCAAAGCCACGCTGGTAACATAGGGCAAGTCGTCGGGATTCACCGCCATCCTGTTGAAGCCATCTGGGAGAGCGGGTGGCTTCTCGCACGGGTTGCACGCATGCAAGTGGGCAAGTAAGACCTCGTCCACGCGCGTGTTCCTCGCCTTGCGCAAATCCTCCAGGATGCAGCTCTTGCTCCAGTACTTGGCCTTGCCCTCGTGGGATAGGCCGAGTAAGACAGCGAGAGGTCTATCTGTCTGCCTGAGCTCGACGTACGTAGCTCCATCGATCGTCTTGGTGCACTGGGGCACCCACGTGCGGACGTGCTTCATGTCCGCGGCATGATATTGGACCACGGGCTTCGCCTCGATCGTGAACGACATCGGCGCGCGTGAAAACAGCCGCGCGAACCCCCCGCGGCGGCCGAGCGCAACCTCGCTTGATCACTGACGGCTTGTCACTGCAATCGAGCCCGCGCCCAGCCGCAGCGACGAGGCTTGGACCAGCGCTGCCGCTGCCCCCTCCCCCATCCCCCTCTCCCCGCGCGAGCGCATGCGAGCTGTTTTTGTTTCTCCTGCAAGCGCTGAAAGAGAAGAATACGCCATGTGTCCAGAGGACGCCGTGTGTCCTGCAAGCGCTAAAGGAAATCCGCAATAATAATACCATTGTCTCCTTAATCGGCGCGCCGCCCCACCGACCTGAGATCGCGGCACAAGTGTCTAATAAGCTCGGCTCCGCGAGCCACGACTACTGCGTGCGGACCCTCTTCATCGGCGGCGCATTCGCCGCCTGCGGCTTCAGTGCACGAAGCTGGTCACCCTTTTTGATGGGTTTGGTGTTTTCCAGGAACGGTATTTTCAATGTAAGCTTCTCCGCGCCGACCGAGGCGTCAACGGTGCGAAGCTTGATGGCCATGTTAGACTCCTTGGGGTCGGTCACCTCTTTGTCAATGAGCCAGTAGTGCGGCATGAACCCTTCTATCTTCGCCATCTTGTAGCTGCCGCGCGTGTTGTCCGCGATGCCGCCTGGATCATGCTTCTGCAGCTTCATGAAGATGTAAAGCTTCTGCGCGACGCCGTCCGCATTAGTGATCTCCGCGCCGACGTCGATGGCACCGTTTGGAGCTGTATCCGAGAAGGCAACTTTGGTCGAGAAGGGCGGGAAGATCGCGCTGGAGACATCGATGTCAACCTTGGCGTACACGCCGCGGTGCTCCGTGGGCTCCGTCACGATGTCGACCATCTCGCCCGCTGCCCCCTGTAGGTTACCCAATGCATCAAGCGCCGACGTCACGTGACCAACCAACACCATGCGCTGCCAGTCCGAGTTCGAGCGCGGGTCGCACCTGGCACTCCAATCGGTGATGTATTCCTGTTGGGGTGGTGGGATGGGTTGCGGGGGTGGTGGGTTTGGGCGGGGCTGGGATGGGCGGTGGGGCTGGGGTAAAGGTGCGGGATGGAGAACAAAAGGAAAAGAGCACGTGGGCTGCGGGTGTGTAAGACAACCAAGCTCCATTGCCAAAATCGTTGCCCCCTCCCCCACCCCCTCCCCCTATAGTATACACGCCGCCCTCCTACGGCTTGCAAGCGTGGAAGGGGGAGAGCGCGGCGTCCTTCTTCGGCTCGCGTTTTGTGATCACCTTGAACTCTTGTGCACGCGGGGTGAGTAGCGATTTCAGGAGGTATGCCGAATCGACTGTGTAGTCGCTCCCATCGCCGATGCTCTGCAGCTTGATCTCATCCTCCTTGACTTCCTGCACCTTGTATACAGTTTTCATCTTGATGACCTCGATGTGGCAATTGGCGCTCACGCCCATACTTGCCAATTTGTGCATCCTGTCGGCGATTCCGCCTACGCTCTGCACTTGTGCAGAAGCCGCAGCTTGCTGCGCGGGAGCTTTGGGCGGGGCTCCTTTCTTCGCCCACGGGGATGTGATCTGCGTGCCTGCAATGGTAGCCAGGTCTTGCACGTACTCGTAGCCGATGTGGTGAAGCGACTCGAACTTTTGGCTCCTGGGGTCGGGCTTCTTCATGCAATGGTGCACGAGCCTCATGCCGAACCTGTTGATCAACGTCTTCACGGCCGCGTTGTCTTCTGACAGGTTGACAGTTTTTGCGATGTCTATAGCCATCGATTTCATGATGTCTGCCTGCGAGATCATGCGCTGCACTTCCTTGTTACTCGTGAGCTTAAGCCCGAAGTCACCCGATGCAAAGAGGTTCTGAAAGTCGCCCGATGCATACTTGCTGTCGGCGCTCATCATTGCCTTTACGCAATCAATGCGGAAGGGAATGCAGCCCAAACCATCCGAGCCGATCACTGCATCAGCCACCGCCGCCAAGACGGGGCCCTGCACAATGCGCGGCTTCTGGCACGAACGGTTGAAAGCCCGAAGCTCCTTCAAATTCGGTGCGTCTGGTCCACCAGCGAGCTTCCTCGCAAACGTCGCCAAACTCTGGATCTCTGAAACGAAATCTGGATTTCTGGATTGCGCTTTTGTTATTGCCCTACCCCACGCGACGTCGGGGTCCAAGATGTCGCCCTCCTTTTTATTGGCTTCGAAGTTGGTGACGATCTTCTGCACGTCCCCGTGCATCTTGAACAAGGTCTCCCACCTAGTCTCATTCATGGAAACCTTCTGCGCAGCATTTCCAGACTCCTGATTGAACGCGGCTAAAGCCAACATAAATGCGGGGGGGGGCGGGGGCGGGGGCGGGGGCAATCGAAAAGTTAAAGGGTGGGCCATCGATTTCACAAACTTAAGCGGGTCCTGGAGCAAGTCTATAATGGCGCCGAATGCGTCTTCAGCCTGCCAGACAAGCACGTCCCATTCAAACCCCTCCTTCGCAGCATCTGCCAACGTGGGGCGCTTCAACCCGATCTTGTGGATGTCAAGCTTCCCGTCGGTACCGAACTCGACGTTATCTGAATATGTAGGGCTGCCAAACTGAATGCAGCGGGTCGCCTGGGTCGTGTGCGACTTGCTCACGCTAAGGATTTTGATCTCGCCCTCGTCGTATGGCGGCAAGAAGCCGTGGGATTCCTTGACAAGGTCTCCGTTGAACTCGAGTGCCTCGGCGTGGCGCTGGTGAGATGGGGGTGGCATCTCGATGGCAAAGGGCACGCCCACCTCATCCATGCTGAACCCGTCGCTGCAAAAATTGCGCACCAGCGTGCGCACGTGGGATGGAATTATGCCATCGCCGTACCTGTTCCGCGGGTGCACGGCCACGTAGCGCCCATTCGTTTTCTGGCGCCTCAGCAGACCCTCCTTCCGCAACAATCGCACCGCCTGGTCGCGCAACTGGAGAATCGGGGGGCAATGGCTCAACGTGTACTCCTTGATGATGTCGAAGATCTGCTCCTGGACGCGCTCCACGCGAGCCTGCATGGTCTCACCCGCCATGGCCCAACTGCAATGCGCGAAACGCAAGGCGGGGGCTGCGCTGAACGCAAGCTTGGGGTGCCTGAAACCTTTGTCTGGGCCAGCGGCAGCACAAATGCATGAAACAACTATTGATTTCGCAGCATGCCTCCCACGGCGCCCGCGCAATATTCCAGATCGGGCACCAAGGTTCTCTTAGGGTTTAGGGTTAACGACATTGGCGTCACAAGTGTTTTGGGCGTCCTGTTCAGCGCGCGCGCTGTTATATATATATATATATATATATATATATATATATATATATGATTGAAAATGCATGCCCATACATGGCGTTAGTTTGCGTAACTGCAGTTATGTGGCACTTACGCGCCACTTATGTGGCACTTACGCGCCACTTATGTGGCACTTACGCCACTTACATAAGTAGCTCGTAAGTTACTTACGCTACTTATATAAGTAGGCCGTAAGTACTTATAAGTAGGCCAAAGTACTTATAAGTACTTACGCTACTTATAAGTAGGCTGCCCCTACTTATAAGTAGCTCCTAAGTAACTTAGCTACATATGAGCTACTTACACTACTTATGAGCTACTTACGAGCTACTTACACTACTTATCAGCTACTTACGAGCGACTTAGGAGCTACTTATAATTGGCGTAACTGCATAAGTACTTATAAGTACCCCCGCCGCGCGCAGCGCCAGCGCGGCCGCGCCCTCGGCCCCCATGCTGTTGAAGGAGAGGACGAGCTCCTGCAGGCTCGGCAGGGCGCCCGGGCCCCGGAGGGCCTCCGCCAGCGCGGCCGCGCCCTCGGCCCCCACGTCGTTGACGGAGAGGTAAAGCGTCTGCAGGCTCGGCAGGGCGTCCGGGGCCCGGAGGGCCTCCGCCAGCGCGGCCGCGCCCTCGTTCCCCACGCGGTTGCGGGCGAGGACGAGCTCCTGCAGGCTCGGCAGGGCGCCCGGGGCCCGGAGGGCCTCCGCCAGCGCGGCCGCGCCCTCGTCCCCCACGTCGATGCGGGCGAGGTTGAGCGTCTGCAGGCTCGGCAGGGCGCCCGGGGCCCGGAGGGCCTCCGCCAGCGCGGCCGCGCCCTCGGCCCCCATGCTGTTGAAGGAGAGGACGAGCTCCTGCAGTCTCGGCAGGGCGCCCGGGGCCCGGAGGGCCTCCGCCAGCGCGGCCGCGCCCTCGGCCCCCATGCTGTTGAAGGAGAGGTTGAGCGTCTGCAGGCTCGGCAGGGCGCCCGGGGCCCGGAGGGCCTCCGCCAGCGCGGCCGCGCCCTCGTCCCCCATGCTGTTGTAGGAGAGGTTGAGCGCCTGCAGGCGCGGCAGGGCGACCGAAGTGAGCACCGCGGCCACCTGCCTGAACTCCTCGTCCCCCCAGTCCAGCCCTGTGTACACCAGCCGCTCTGCGGACTCGAAGCGCTGCGCGAACGCCGAACGGTACAACTTGGCAACCCGCGGGCGATCGTCCTTGCCGTTCGTGAAGCCCTTGCTCTGGAGCTCCAGTTCGAAAGCGTCGGGCAAGGCGGGTGCCTTCCGCCCCGCGGCGCCCGTGAGTGTCGACTCCACATAGTCGTTCTCGTCTCCAGTGGCTTGTCCGAGGTCCACCAAAAGGAAGGAAACCTTCGTCAACATTGCCCATGAGGACTCGCAAAAACACCAACCGCGGTCGAAATAGAGTGCAGTGTTGCCAGATCGGGTGTATACTCTAGGATTGTCGCAATCATCGGTGAACCGTGTCAGCATGAATACGACTGTGGCAGGGTGGGAGTAGAAACTCCCAAGGCTGCCCAAGGCCTCCTTGAAGAGCTCATGCTCGCGCTCGAAGCGGCCGATTGCGCCGGCCTCAAAACACTCTGACCCTTCGAGCCGCTGATACGTGCACCGCCGAGGAGCACCCCCGTGATCCCTGCAGTTCTGATGGATGCAGATGAAGTCCATGAACACTGCCCAGCGGCCAGTAAAATTAGAGAACCAACCATCTGCGAGCAGCTGCAAAGCCCGGCCCAGGATGCGCAGGTTGTGGCCGTGAGGGTCGGGGTGATTAGCCTGCAACCAGCAATGTGAGACACAAGCTATGTGCAGCAGTGGAAAATCCATGGGAAATTCTCCCTCCTCAGTGGCAGCTTTGACCCCGCTGTGGGGCATGAACGCAGTCGGCGACAAAGCCTGGCGCGGCTCGAGGGTTCCGCCGGAGCCCGCCCGCTCCACCACCCACTCCGCGTCCACCAGGACAACCGCCCCGCTGCCCAGCACGGGGTCGAGCTCAAAGCCGCCGAACTTTTCCCACAGCTCCTGCTGCCGCTCCGTCACTTCCACCTCCTCCAATTCGGGCAGGTGCGGCTGCCCCGGATCCCCCGCGGCCTCGCTGGCCTCCTGTCCCACGGCGCTACCGTCGCAGCAACTCCAGCACAAGCACTTCGCAGCCAGCGCGCCGCCCTCGGGCGCCGACATCTTGGAAGCCGCACGGAGGCCCAGGTGGCCCACCGCACCGCAGCGTCGCGCAGCAGATGTGCGCAACAAGCAGCGGGTCACCAGAGGGTCGGAACTGGGGAAACCAAAGGTACCGATACTGCTGCTCCCCGGGCCTCTCCCGGAGTGCGTTCTGACCCAGATTTCGAGGCGAGTCCAGCGGTGGCGACGAGGGCCTCCCAAGAGGCCGAGATAAGGGAAAGCGAGGGAACCGCAGTGGTAATGGGCACCTTTTCCTCCTCCGAGGAACCCCCGGTCTCTTGGGCCAGGCTGCGGACCCCCTCTCTCTTCTCGCCCTCTTCCACTCCACGATTCGCCTCCACTCCCTCTTCCTCGCCCCCGCGCCCCCACTCGTCCGATTGGTGCCCCCCCCCCTGGCTCGCCCTCGCTCTCAGCGCCCTCTGCTCTACTCACGAGGCAACGGTTTCACGGATTGAGACGGGTGGATTCCAAAATGTGGCTCTCGCCTTAGCGCCGCGCGCTTTCGATGTTTAACATTTGCATGAGCTTTACGGATTGAGAGCGGGTGGTTTTCAAAATGTGGTTATCGCATTAGCGCCGCGCACATTCGTTTCGCTAGTTCTAGCTAGGCTTGATAAACTAACTCATGCCATCTCATGTTGGTCGCTTCTTGCATCTGGACCTTGAACTCACGTTCAGTAACTTATTTAACCTAACCTTGATAACTGACCTGCAGCCCTTACATAACCGATTTAGCGGGATAGTTAAGCATGTTAGTAAGTCGCTGACAGCAATCCGAGAGGGGGCCAGCGGCAGAGGGCGGAGCTCCTCGGGGGAGCTCGCGGCTCTCGCGTGCCCCACTCCCTGGCGCCTGGCGCGCGGAGCACCCGAGGAGCTGTTTTCTGAGCCCTCCCATGAGCCACGGAGGGCTTCCCCAAAGGCGCGAATGCCTATGAGAAGCCCTGCCGCCCCCTCAAAAGGCCTGCCCCCCCTCGGCAGCAGCTCGTTGGAGCCTTATATGTGTTCGCTATTCCGTCTTCAAGAGTGCATCAGCGTGCTCTAGCGACTGGTAGTCGATGATCAAGCGCCGATGTAGCGCCGCCAAGCAAAGAGCAGAGCAGGAAGGCAGAGAAGGGCAGAGAGCAGAGGACAACTCCGAGCAGAGCGGAGCAGGACAGAGGTCGGCGGCCTATGGTCGCGCCCTCACGCAGGACCTGCGCCACCGCGTTGGCTCTCCTCCCGCGCATGCCGTCTGGGTATCCACGGTTCCTCCTCCTGCGTCTGCTCCTCCTTCCCCTCCTCCGGCCGCTCCTCCTCTTGCTCTTCCACCTCCTCCTCCTCCTCCTCCACCTCCTCTTCCTCCTCCTCCTCCTTCCTCCTCCTCCTCCTCCTCCTCCTCCTCTCCTCCTCCTCCTCCTCCTCCTCCTCCTCCTCCTCCTCCTCCTCCTCCTCCTCCTACTCAACTCCTCCTCCTCCTCCTCCTCTTCCGCCTCCTCCTCCTGCTCAACTCCCTCCTCCTCCTCCTCCTCCTTCTCCTCCTCCTCCTCCTCCTCCTCTGCTTCCTCCTCCTCCTGCTCCTCCTCCTCCTCCTCCTCCTCTTCCTCCTCCTTCTCGGCCCCCACGAACCCGCAGAAAAGGCGTAAGAAGGAGGAGGAGGGGAAGGAGGAGGACCTTCTCCTCCTCCTGCTTCGTCTCCTCAAGCTGATTCTCTAGGTCAACATCTCGGGTCGACCCCCGCGGCCGCTTGGCAGGCGACGTCCCCAAATTGACTGTTCCGTCCGCGCCGCCGCGGCCATGTCTGGCGCGGCTTCCGGCGCTACCTCGCCTGGTGTCGCTCGCCGAAGTCGCGATGTCGCTGAGCCAGGCCAGTGCCGCGCGCCACGCCTCCGCCCCATGTAATCGTGGCGTCTCGGAGGTCTCCGAGCTCAACGTGATGAAAGAAGAAACTGCAGAGCTCCGCATGCTGCTCGCGTCCGCTGTGCACTTGAACTTTTCGGCAGCTGCTCATGGTCTCCGTGAAGATGCAAAACCCCTCTGGTGCTTCTGAAGTTCCTGGCTATTCTCTTGCAGCTCGCGACAATCGACGCCCAAGTGGTGGGCCCTACTTCGAGGACGGGAAAGATAAGGGCAAGGTCATCAGGAATGGCAAGGGCAAAGCAAGCGCAAGGTGGCATTTGGTGCGCCCCACTGCAACCTTTCCTTTTTCCTCCAAAACCAAATTCCAATCGAGACGCGTTTTGCCTCTACTGTAGCCGTTTGGCTTAGATCATTTACGCAACCTCAGTCGCCATGCGATTCAATGAATCGCCAGGCAAACCAGGAGCACCTCAAAAGCCGACCTGCGATAGGCAAACTCGTGAAGTGAACCGTGGCCTGAAAAAGCGACAGAACACGCTGATCGTAACGCATTTCCCCCTCCCCCTGCGCCGGCCGCAGTCCAGAGGATACGAAGAGCGAAGGTGGGCTGCTAGCTAAGCGGCCGCGGCTGGACGCCGACCACGGAGGACGAGGATGAGGATACGGATGAGGATGAAGAGGAGGATGAGGATGATGAGGATGAGGAGGAAATAAAGCGAAGCAAGAGCGGTGCGCACAAGGAGCCGCAAGCCCACCGCCGCGCGCGGTGGGGACCTGGACGCGCCCAGTCTTACGCTCCAACCGGGCACGGTTGTCAACGAGGGGCCCCCGCCCCAGAATTTTGAATTTACAATCTAACGAAGTAGCATGTACTGTCACATTAAACAAGGGAAGCAAGGATATGACAGATATCATATATACAAACTCTACCACGTAAGCCGCATCTACTCATGACGTCGACGACGCGCAGTGCGACCGACCCATCTAGAATCGATCACGCTGGCGCTGGACGAATGTCCGCAGACACCGTTCCGGCAATGCTGCTCCGCCGCATCTCGCGCTTGCTCCGGAGTGACTCTGCCCTGCGCGCGGAAGGAGTTGGTGGCGCAGTAGGCGGCAGATAAATATCAAAACCGCAGCGCAGATCAAGTCCTCATCGTTCGCGAATGAAGTGGCCAGCAGAAAAGACTCCTGCCCAAAACCGAAGGTACGTGAGCGCCACCAAGCCGATGGACGGGCAATGGAAGTAGTGTTCGAGACTGTCTTCGGCATGCCCGCCGCACCCAAGGACGCAGCAGTTGCGAGCGCGATGCCTCTGCTGAAAACGCTGTGCGGTAGTCCACCTGCTCCATAATGTGCTCAAACACGCGGCCCGACCCCTGGGGGCCACCAGACCTGCCAGCCGCTGCAAGTTGGATACAGATCGACGGGCGATCCAGCCCGGGAAGCCGTCGAGGTGCCAGCGCTGCAGCTCCGCGCGCATATTCTGGTTCGGAGCGAAGTTGCTGCAGCAATTGGTCATAAACTTCGTGTTGAAAACGTTGGCGAATTCGCCGCAAAAGGCTTGCCGGCTACGGCTGAGGAGCACCTCCAGAGATGGATGCCATCACGCTACTGGGAGTAAGGCAGTGGGCTTCCAGATAGTCCCAAGCCCTGGTGGGCACAAACGCACGCGACCGCTCGTACCAGCCATCCCAAGGGAGGAAGTCCGACTGCGACCTCAGTAACCGAAGCGCCTGCGCACGAGACCGCAAGCCTGCCAGGCCGCCGCCGAAGGGCTCCCATACTGCTGCCCTCGCCTGGGCCACGAGCGCCATAATGCGGAGCGGAAAAAAAAATCTGGCTTGTCCGTACAACTCCTTCAAATCAGGAGTCACCCGGCATGATCCAGTGTCGGGGGCCCTCGGCCGCTAGGCGCAAGGCTTGCGCCTCCAGCGCCAGGACGCTGTCCGGCGGCGCCTCGTGCTGGGAGATACAAGAGAGAACCGACATACCGAACACATTGTGTGCCATTGCGGAAAAATGTAGTCCTAGGTGTTGCGCAACCTACAGGCAGCAGCAGTCCATGAACTTTGGGCCAAGCTTGTCCCAAGACGAGTCGCCCTTGCCTGGGCCTGTCTGAAATCCAGGATAAGAGCTACATGTCTTGAGTCCCGCGCAATGCCAGGATTGAGAAGCAATACCGATACGATCCCAGGATAGCTCGCCCTCGCACTGCCAGAGAGGAGCCACAACTGTTTTCGGCAAGTTCAATGCCAAACCAGAAATGTCCGCGAACTCCGTGAAAAAATGCTGCAGCAGCCGTTCATCGTTGAAGAAAACCCGCGAGATACAGGCGATATCATCAGCAAAAGCTCGAAATATGCAGCCAGGGAGGTCCTTGTCCAATCGCCTGGTCAGGCCTGAGAAGAACATCTACAATCACGGCAAACAATAACGGAGATAGCGGGCATCAACGGCGCATCCCGGCTGTGATGTTGAATCCCTCGTGCAAGCTCCCTTTTGCAAGATATGCGGCAACGGTTGTCGTCGTATAGGGCGGTCACGAAGTTCATACACCGACGGGGCACCCCCAATAAGGACAGCACTCCAAGGACTTACTCGTGGCTCTCGCTTGAAAATGCCGCCTTAATACCACAGAGCACCATGCCGCCGTGCTCCGCCATCAAACTCGCGGTCGTGGCCTCGTAGTCCACGTCCACGACATTCTGGAGCATGATGCGGCCCTTGAGGAAGCCTTGCTGAGCCCTGCTGACCCAGGCGTCGAGGATCGGCTCCCACTGGAGCCGCGCCGCGTTCGCCATAATGCGATTGTCTGTGTTGACTATCGCCAGTGGGCGGGTCGCCGAAGCCTCGAAAACCTCGCCTCTGTCGGCGTCCACGCCCGTGGGCTTCTTCGGTAGGCAGCAGAGCGGGCTAAGGTTAAAGTCGTGGCCCTCGCCCGGACACGCACTGCGCAGGGTGGAGCAAGCGTCGCCCGGCATCAGATCCACCATCGCGTCGTGAAGTACGTCGGCTCCAAAGTTGCCGAGGACCTTCCAAGCTTTGTAAGAGATATTATCTGGCCCAGGCATACTGTTCCCTGATAGTTTGATTGCTCGGAAACGTCTTGTCGACGGACCTCGAGGAATTACTGTTCAGAAGTCCTCCCTGTGGGTGCCCTCGGCGATCAGCGGGGAAGACATCCCGAAGCCAAGCGTGCCCACGCAGAATGCTCGCCAACTCTCCGGGGTCGTCAGTGATGCGCCGATTCTAGTCCACCAGCGCGTTCGGCGACGTGGAGGCGCCAGGAAGCAACCGCTTCAGCTTGGTCAAGATGTGCTCCTTGCGCTGAGTGCGATGACGAATATCGCCATCAGTCGGCATCTGTTGGTGATGCTCCTCTTGTTGCTGATGCTGCAATTGCTAGAAGATCCCCGAGGGGAGGACAAAGAGAACGAGGCGACGCGAAGAG